CGAAAGTAGTTAGTTTTATTTTTATTTTTAAAAATAGAATTTGTGCTGAAGAAGAAGCAGAAGAAAGACATGAATTTCGTGTTCGTGCATCAGATGAATATTATCAAGAAAATGGTCGTGTACCACGAGAAAAAATTAGTGAACAACCAAAATATGATATTGATGAATATTGGTATGCTATTCATGTTTTACAAACACAATATATATTACAAATAATTCGTTGTAATTCAGTTGAATGTTGTAGACCATGGCGTTCAAATTATGTTTCAGTATTTCCTCATCGATTTTTATCAGCACTTGTACCATTTGAACGTACAGCATATGGTATTAGAATGGCAGAAAAAGATTATCAAAGAGGACAATTTTATGGATCATTATTCCAATGAATTCAATTTCATGGCGTTGTTATTCAACATACACAGGTTAAAAAAAAACAAAAAAAGTTTATTTTTTATCAACAATTGAGTAGAAATGTGATCAGCTAGGCTGACTAGAAATCGAGATATCGACGAAAAAATTTCATTCTCATTTGTAATCTCTAACACCTTAATAACGATATGTTTTACTACCAACACAATATTAAGTCGTGAGTATCAAATCCACACATAGTACCTTCATATAGACTAATAAAAAAAAAGAAACATGACAGAAACAAGATCTAACGGTTCAACTAGAAGACCTTTATTCAATTTAATATTAATTATCCTACTCATAGCTAGTCATGATTCTAACACTAATATGCAATGACATCTGTAGTTTTGTACTACATCTAATCTAATTATTCATAGAATAATTACAGTTCGATCGTAATGTATTACATTTTTTACAAAAAACACATGTTGGTTAATTTAGAGTCAAAAAAAAGGATTTTTCTTTTCAGAATGAAATGTTACCATTTGATTACTATTGTGTATCAGTGAAAAAGGAATTAAAAAAAACGTACATGTAAAGGGTGTAAACAATATATTCCATCAACATATCGTATGAAAAATCATTATAAAATTCATGCACAAAATTATGAAACTTTTGATCATAATCAAGATGATATATTACCATCACTAGCAATAAATGATATAATAAACAATTCAGATCAAAGTCAATCAATAACAACAGCAGCTTTGGTATCTGTAGTTAAAATCAAAATGTTTGTTTGGCTTCGATCAGATTTTGATTCGAGTTCAACAGCAGCACAACTTGCAAATAATAGTGTTACACGTTTCATGAAAAAATTATGTGTTAAAGAAAATAACGATGAATCACAAAGAAAAGATTTAGTTCACTTACTTTTGTTAAGTGTCTTCTGAAAAAATTTGTCAATGTACGATAAGAATTTTTTCTTGATTTATGATGAACGTGAATATCTTTTAGATATTGAGACGAAAAAGTAGATTTAAATGTATTTTTAGACGAGGAACCATGTTGTTCTTATATGCAGAGTTTTTTTTCAATGTCAAGAATCAAATAACGCTAATAAAGTTGTAAAATTTTTAAAAAAAAAGAAAGAAACAAAATTCATTCATTCTTACCTGCTCAATTTTAAGATAAGAAACAGTTCTATTCTTTTGTTAAGTTTCAATGAAAACCATTGTTTTATTAGTAAAAATCAGCTTCTCATAAATAATATCTATTAAATAGACTATAACTAAGTTAAATGTATACTGTTGATTATCATTATTACCAATGTATTGACTTTTACCAATTCATTTTGTATAGTGAGAATTATAAAGAAGACTAACACAATCCTTTGCATATTGCATGGTTGATGCACAAACAAATGTTCGACAACATAGTTGACACCAATCAACATTGTTAGTTCTCTCAACTTCATGTGAACATCTGCTAAAACTTCCGTAGACTTTGGCCTCATGGATCCTTATGTGGTTCATTCACAGAATTGACTGGAAATTATCCATTCAACTGGTTGACTTTATGGCCCTAACATCTCACATACTGCTAAAAACAATGTTGCTTTGATATTATTGTACAAAGATCGGTAATTTCAAAATTATATAAAAGAGTTTGATTGATAGTCTGATGATTGTTTTTTTAGATGCTTCAAAACAAAAAACGAGACGAATAATATTATCGAGAAATGTCAAGGTTTTTTGTTTTGATTTTCTTGTCTGTCTAAAAATAACTTGACCTTTTTCCTCTTCTTTTTGAAAAGTTGTAGTTATTTCTATTTCTTTATCTATGAATTGTTTTTCTAATTTATCTGATGCTTGTTTTGGATTTGCTGATTAAGGAACTTGGCCTATAATTTACAAGCTTTTGTTCTTCTTCTTCTGTTAATCCTAATGCGTTATTGATAACTTTTGGAGGAAAATCTTATGCTGTACAATATGGATGACAATACTTAGCTCGACTATTTCTATCTTGAGTTCTATCTATTTTTATTTAATATTTGACTCTTCTTCTCAATGAATCTATATGGTAATTGGATTGTCTACAGCAAGTGTTTACATACAGATCTCAATTCTATCAGTATTTTATTGACTAATTCTTGCTATTCTTTGTCACTTTTGTCTATTTCTTTTGTTGATTCTACTTTGGTTACGGTCAATATTGTTCGACAAGTTACTTTACTGTTCTTGAATTTTCTTCTTAAATAGCTTATTTTCAAACTGTATTTTATCCATGATCTTCGATGGAAGTATTGGCATATTCTCATCGAATCTTCGATCTAATTTATCAAATTGAAATTTTAGTTATAATATCGGTTTAAATCTATCTTGTCCGTG